TTCATTTTCCACTCAAATAGACGGGGCCAAGTCAAGTCCATAACATTCTCTAGGTTTTAACAGGAATACTGCTGTGGTTACAGAACTCAGGGCTGCTAAGGCAACCACTCTAGACTCACGGTTCCTTTGAGTTTGAGTGTATTGAGACAGATGTTAACATCAGGAAAAGCTCTTGCCAATTAGAGGACCTTCTTAATCCTCAGCAATAAAGTTAAGTTTGTGGTTTGGGGGGGGGGGGGTTACTATTACAACAAAAGTAAATTTGGCATCCATAGAAATCAGTTCTGATTTTTGAAAGATTTGTCCAAATATATCATTTTTTTAACGTTACTCATTTATTAGATCCTTTATCCTACAATTTGCTTAAACCCTTAAATAAATTGCACTTTAAAGGATTATAAGTAATCCATTTAAAAATTCAAATACACACATCAGTGTTGGTTACTATGCAGAGAGAATGTCATTGTGTATAGTTTCATTTAATCTGTGACAAATGTTCAGCTGTATTTTTTATTAAAATAAACTATGTCAAGAAAATGTGTTGTCTATAGCTTGGCTAGATATTGTAAGTGGGAATTTTTTGTGGGAGCTTTTAGAAACATAGATCCACACAGTATTTCTAGTTTCCTTCCCACCTATCCTATGTCTGTTTCTTTTGTGTGCTATTTTCCCTCTTAATTACTAAAAGCTAACAATCCTGTCTTGCTATCTAAATTAGACACCACTTCTATGTTTCTAGAACTAACTTAAACCTGTCTTTTCTGTCTCAACTTCTAAAGAGGACAGCAGATGGCAAATGTCTGGTTTTTGGCCATGGGAAGAATACCTGACAGGAATTTTGGTTTAATTTTGATGGGAACCCTAATAGAATTGGACATTTGAAGGGTCTGTGGACAAGTTCCTGTTGCAAGTGTGATAGCAGTTTAGGTGATTAGAATCGCTAATTTTTTACCAGAATTTTAAGACTCTTCCCATCCCACATTTATTACTTGAAGAATATAAAAATATAATTAGTCATAGGAATTCCTTTATTCCTTATCAAAACAACCTAACAGCAAATGTACATAATATGCCTTTATTTTTACATATAAGTTGCCATTTTTGGATACATCTTTCAGCAGAACTCTGCCACATTCATACGTTGTCTTTGCGAGAGGGTAAAATTTTACATCAGCCTTATTCAAAGACCATGGTAATTGTAACACAAAAAAAACCACCCTGGAGTCTAGGGTGGGAGAGAAGAGTTTTTCCACATACAAGCACATTTAAACTTATTCCAAGTACAAAAACATCTGTGTTGTTGCTTTAGACATAACTTTATGAATCATAAGGTCTTACAGTATAATCCAGGTGAAGTATCAGGACGTACTTTAGTAAATCCCAATGACTTGAAATTCAAGTCCAAACTAGATATTTAATGTTTTCTTTATTGCAAATATGATGTCTTTAACCTGAGGTACCGAGTTGTCTTCTAGAATCTTTGCATAAGGCATAGGGACATCAGCACCAGTGACACGAACTGCAGGAGCATCCAGGAAATTGAATGCAGGGCCTAGGAGAGAAGGACGCTCAACTGAGAGGCAAGAAAAGCCACTGAGGACCAACACCTTCGCACAGGAAGTGTGGCTCTCCAAAGAAGAGAAAATCTAAAGGAATACTAATTGCGGGGATTGTTTCTGGCTTTGTTTTTTTAAACATTCACCCAAAGGAAAAATGCCAAGGTGACAAGGTGAGAGTTGAGGCATTTGGTCACCCCTAGCCTCTGATCTCTATCCAGTATCCAGGTACACACTTGACTATTTTAGTCAATAGCTGAACCATTCTAGAACCAGTTTCTCTGAAGTAAGTACCTTCCATGATCCTGGCACAAATTTCAGCTCCTACTCCAAACTGTGGCCAGCCTCCTTCCACAGTTATGAGATGATTGGTCTTCATGACACTGGCTTCTATTGTTTCAATGTCCATTGGTCTGATGGTTCGCATATTTATCACCTAAACAAAGATACACCTTATGGAGCCACTGCGCCACAGATAGTCTCACTCCCATAATGGCACTCACTGTTTGGTTTCCTGTTAATCTCGGGGTTTAGGAAAATCTAATCTGCCTATTCAAGAACAAAATGGTAAAAAATAAATTGTAATTAAAACAAAAGTCTTTCTACCACAAGGAGCCCTGTTAACTTAAGAATTCACTTACCCTCAGGGTGCCTGGGTTACACCTCCGACTCTTGATTTCAGTTCAGGTCATGATCTCACGGTTTGTGAGTTCGAGCCCCGCATCAGGCCACCGCTGACCACGCAGAGCCTGTTTGGGATTCTCTCTCTCTGCCCCTACCCCTCTCTCTCCCTCTCTCACAAAATAAACTTAAAAAAAAAAAAATTCACTTATCCTCCTGGACTTTAACTTCCTTCTCATCAAAACAACTAATAACTAACAACGGACTGCTCACCATGTGCCAGGCGCCACACTAAGTGTGATTCTCACAACCACCCTGATGGGACAGTAAATGTGCTCTCCTCAGTTTACCGCTGACAGGGCTGAGATTCAGAGTATGTATCTTGTTCAAGTAGAACTAGCAAGTGGTAGGTCCTGGATGTGAAAGGGTAAGACACCGATTTCTAAGTTTCCCCTTCTCCCAACCTCCAGCTCCAACGCTGGCTCCCCACTTGAGAAAGCAGGTACTCTTCTAAAAGATCCAACCTATGTGGTAAAAAGCTAGATATCTGAAAAGCAAGGGGGTTCCCAGCTTCACGCAGAGGCAGAACTGAGTGACAAACCAAGAGTTTTACACTTAGGGGAGTTGGAACTCTATAGCAGGTTAACTTAAAACTAAAAGGAAACTTTCTGATTCTTTAAGAATAAATGAATGTCCACATACCTCACATTCAATTCCTTCTTTGGATAGCACCGTTGCAGCTTCTAAGCAGTGGCCCACGGGTCTTGAATGGGAAACTACAGTTATGTGTGTCCCTGAAACAGAGCGGTCACAGATCAGAGGCGCGTTGGCACGAAAGCTGCCGTACTGCTCTGCGGCCACTGCAGCTCTTGTTCACGTGTAAAATCTTCAGCTCCACTCCATTCCGATGGGATGAGGAATGTGGCGGCCTCCCTAAAGATGAAATACAAATCTACTGGGCTGAGATTTAGGAAAGCACAAGCGTATGAGCAACTCATGACACATTCTTAACTTGAACTCATCCTGTAATTTCCTGATCAAAGTAAAAAGCAATAACTTAAGACCGAATCTGACCAACATAAGTAGAGTGGCTGAATTACAAATAATGTTTAAATGTACTAAGTTCTCTTACCTTGCCTTTCTATTTTGGCTTTTCCAATGGGAATCAGAAAATCTTTTGATTGAGCTTCTGAGGGAAATTCAAAAGGAACTCCATACATCAGTTCATTCTCTAGCACCACCACTGCAAAATACAAAAAAAAAAAAAAAAAAAAAGAGAGAGAGAGAGAGAGAGAGAGAGAATGAAAGTAAGCACAAGAAGGGAGAGACAGAGGAAATGGGAGGGAGAGAAAAAAAAATTTTTTTAAGTTTATTTTGAGAGAGAGAGCACGTGTCACTAGGGTAGGGGCAGAGAGAGGAGGAGAGAGAATCCCAAGCAGGCTCCACACTATCAGTGCAAAGCCCAATGCGGGGCTCGATCCCGTGAACCATGAGATCATGACCTGAGCCAAAATCAAGAGTTGGACGCTTAACTGAATGAGCCACCCAGGTGCCCCATGGAGGGAGAGAATCTTAAGCGGCTCCACACTCAGCACAGAGCCTGACTCAGGGCTCAATCTCATGACTATGCGATCATGACCTGAGCTGAAATCAAGAGCTGGACACTCAACCACTCAATTCATTGAGTCTCCAGGCACCATGCAAAATACAGATATTTAACAAAAGTAACTACGTGACTAAATGTATTTTCAACACTAACAATCATTATGTGAAAAGTTTCACTGTGCTGATTAGGAGGCCTCATATCTGTCATGTCCAGTAGCCCTGAATGGATGGTTTAGGTACTGGCATTTACAGTCTGGCCAATCCTAATTTTACCTGTTGCAATTAAACTAGTGTTGTAGGTACCTAACAGGCTCCCTTATAGTAGGAAAACCAAAATAAAACAACTTTTAAACTGTGTTTATTGTCTCTGTAAATCATTAACATTTTATATGATCTAAGCCTAACTAGAAGCCTATAAGGGTTCCTTCCAGGCAAAGATTTCAATTTAGTTCTTTAATGATCAAAAGAGACCCAAGGGTCACTCTACTAACCTGGGTTGTTATCCCGAATGGCTGATTTAATAAGTCCTTTTGCATCCTCTGAATTCCAGGGGCTGACCACCTTTAAGCCTGGGCAGTGCCCATACCAGGCAGCAAAGCACTGTGAGTGCTGGGCAGCCACGCCTGCTGAGGCGCCATTGGGCCCCCTGAAGACTATGGGCACAGACTGAAAGCCCCCTGACATGTAGTAGGTCTTGGCAGCTGAGTTTATAACCTGGTCAATGGCTTGCATAGAGAAATTGAAGGTCATAAATTCACAAATGGGCCTCAACCCAGCCTGTCAAATCAAAAACAAAGATCTTAAAAAAATGAGAAACAGCAGTAAAGAGTGGCAATCACTCCAAAATTCAAACAATGTTTTCAAAAGGTCACGTGAAAAGAAATTTCTTTGGATGAAATTCATAAAGAGGATTACATACCATGGCCGCACCCACGGCAATTCCAGCAAAGCCCATCTATAAGTAAAACACAAACACAAGTGAAAATCCATAAAAATTAGAACAGTGTACACGTGGACAGACACGCCCTGAAAGGTCTGCTTCCTGATGGAAGCCTTACCTCAGATATGGGAGTGTCTATGATCCTCTTATCTCCGTATTTCTTCCACAGGCCTCGACTAACCTAAAATTACACATTGATTTCATTACTTTTAAGTGTATCTGGGGGTAAATGGCTACCTTAATTCATATTGATTTCAGGTATCTTGATTACCTTATATGCCCCATCATACTGGGCAACTTCTTCCCCAAGCAGAAACACCTTCTCATCTCTTTCCAGCTCCTCATCCATACCTTGGTTTATAGCTTCACGAACTGTCACCTGTCACAGGGATGGGAAAAACAGTTAATAAACTATAGGATCATTTTGGATACGACTCAGATTCTCTTATAATTACCTAGGCTGCATACAGCAGAGAATATAAAAACTATCACTAGAACAGGCTTCTCTTTAAAAGTTCAAAAAATTCTTGGGGTGTGTGGGTGGCTCAGTAAGTGAAGTATCCAACTCCAGCTCAGGTCACGATCTTGTGGTTTGTGAGTTCGAGTCCCACGTCAGGCTCTCTGCTGACAGCTCAGAGCGTGGAGCCTGCTTCGGATCTGTGTCTCCCTTTCTCTCTTTCTGCCCATGCCCGCCCGCCTCTCTCAAAAATAAACATGAAAAAAAATTTTTAAATAAAAGTTAAAAAAATTCTAAAAATCTGTTTACTGGCCAGACCAGCTCATGGGTAGTTTCCTAAGTAGAAAATATACTGGGTTGTTTTATTTCCACATTTGGTATAGTGTAGGGCAGAGAACTATTAAGGAAGCCTAAATAAAACTATGTTTTGAGCACTTACTACGTGCCAGGCACTACCTTCAAAATCTACAAGTTATTTTACTAAACAGCTTGGTAGAATCCTCTAGTAAAAAAAAAAGGGGGGGGGTGGGGAATTCCTCAAAGAGGAATGATCCAACAATTCCACTTCTAAATATGCTCAAAAGAAAAAAAAAAAAAAGCAGGGACTGAGATACTTGCTCACCAATGTTCTTAGCAGCACCATTCACAAATCCATATTTCACAATCACATGTGAAAATACCCACATGTCCGTCAAAAGATGCATGGATAAATAAGAGGTGGTATATGCATAAGATGGAATATTATTCAGCCTTAAAAAAGGAATGAAATTCTGACACATGCTACAACATGGATGAACCTTGAAAACATCATGCTAAGTGAAATAAGCCACTCGTAAAAGGACAACCATTGTATGATTCTCCTTACAGGAGGTACCAAAAATAGACAAATTCACAGACACAGAAAGTGCAATAGAGGTTACCAGGAGCTAGGGGGAAATGAGAAGTTAGTGTTTAAGGGGGTAAAGAGTGTCTGTTTGTGAGGATGATAAAGTTCTAAACACGGATGGTGGTGATGGTCTCACAACATAGTAAATGAACTTAGTGCCGCTGAACATACACTTTAAGATGGTAAATTTGGTTACGTATATTTTATTACAATAAAACATTTTAAAGGGGGATGAAGGAAGAAGCGTCTAGTTTACTCAGGTCGCCCACAGATTCCAATGAGCCTGCTGGGGGTGACATGCTGGTGTGCTTGGTGATGGGTCACAAAGCGGGAACCAAGAGTCCCACGCAGGACGTGGGAACCCGCAGACTACAGGGCCCGCTGCCGCCACCCTCTCTGCACAGCGCAGGCGCGTCCCCGGTCTCCTCCCCGGGACTGAGGGACCCCCTCCCTCCCCCGGCTAGCGTCCAGGCGACTTACCTGCAGCGCCGCCGGCGCCGTTCGGTGGAAGCGCCTCCTCAGCAGCCCGGAGACCTGGAGGGGAGAGAGAGCACGCTGAGAGGGGGCGCAAGGTGGGCAGGAATCGCGCGGAGGCACGCGTGCCGCTGCCTACCTGTTCAAGGGGTCTCCGCACCAGCCCAGACACCGCCGCCATCTTGACCGTGTCCTCTAGCCGCCGCCAAATGACAACACAGCGCGGCCGCAGTCCTGTCAGGCCCCGCCTCCCCCGCCAGCTCTAGCCAATGGCAGGGAGCCGCGCCTGCGTGCCCCGCCCATCCCCCCTGGGGTGAGGGGCCGAAGGGCGGGACCAAAGTGGCGCGTGGGGTGGTTCTACAGCTCTTTCTGCGGCCTGACTCCAATCGACTTCGTCCGGAGTGGCGGCTGCTGGCATGCTGGCCGCACGTCGGGGACACGTCCCTAAGTGGTGCTCCTGGAAGCACGGGACCGAAAGTCAGACTCTGAGGAACATAATTGAAGGCTGGAGGGACCTTCAGAGTTAGGTCAGCCTTTGAGGCACTGAAACCCTTAGGGCACCAAGTAACTCCTGCGCTCAGTCTAGTGTAGGAACTTTTTCCCTTGTGAATGAGCCCGGTCTTCCCTGGACTGCGCTGTCTGTTCCGGTAGAACGCGAACGAGAGCTTTCATAGGTGCGTTAAGCGGCCTCTTGTGTGTCAGTCATTATGGTAAGAATTGTACAGCTCATTTAATTTTCACAGGAACTCTCTCAGGTAATTACTGTTACCATCCCTTTTTGTCCTCAAGTCACTTTGGGTTGTCAGTCATCAGAAAGTCCTAAAAGTCCTTTATCCAACACTTTCAGTCTCTGTGGGCTTGACCAACCTTTTATTAAAAAGGGCTTTTAGCCCCCTCCCACATTTTTAGGTGTAACTTAGTAAAAAGCACATATCCACCACCTCAGAAAGTTCCCTCATGTTTCTCCCAATCATTCCCCATACATCACTCCATAGGCAATCACAGTTTCGATTTCCATCATGATAACTTAATTTGCCCTTTTTAGAATTTGAAAAAAAAAAAAAGGGAACTATACAAAGTGTACTGTTGTGTCTGACTTCTTTAGCTCAGAAAATGTTTTTGAGATTCATCCATGTTAAGTGCATCAATAGTTTATTCCTTTTTTTTTTTTTAAGTAATCTTTACACCCAACAGTGGGGCTCAAATTCATAACCTCAAAATCAAGAGTCACGTGTGCTTCTGACGGAGCCAGCTAGGTGCCCCTCGTCTTTTCTTTCTTACAGTTGTTTTTGAAAGACTAAGTCTCGCAAGAAAGAGTTTCCATGTACCCCTCACCTATCTTTGCCTGATATCTTGTATAACCATAGTACATTGTCAGATTCCCCAAACCGACATTGGTACAATGCTGTTAACTCAGGTAGAGATTTTATTCAGCTTTCATCAGTTTTTATATGCATTCTTGGGGAAAGCATAATAATCCTGTAGAACTGCATCACATGTACAGATTCACGTAACTGCCACCACTATCACAATACAGAATTATTCCATCACCACAAAGCAGCTTCTTCATGTTACCTCAGTCACACCTTCCTCCACCCCTATCTACTGGCAACCAGTAATCTGTTCTCAGTGACTATAATTTGTTACTTCAAGAGTGTTTTTATACATTGAATTGTACAATATGTAACTCTTGGAGTTACTACTGTCACTCAGACTAATGCTCTTGAGATCCATTCAAATTGTTGCACGTGTCAACATTTTGAACCCTTTTATTGCCCAGTAGTTGTATGTTTATCCATTCACCCTTTGAAGGACCTTTGGGTTGTATCCATTTTCAGCTATTACCAGTAAAGCTGCGATGAACATTGGCTCATAGGTTTTTGTGTAAACCTCAGTTTTCATTTCTTCAGGTAAATACTGAGAAGGATATCAAAGTGTTTTTCCAAAGTGGCTATACCATTTTATGTTACCTCCAACAAGGTATGAGACATCCAGTTGCTCTGGATCCTTGCCTGTGTGTGATATTATCTATATTTTCTATTTTAGCCATTCTAATAGATGTGTAGCAATGTCCCTCATGACTTAAATTTGCATTTCTTTAATGGTTAATGATTATCGAACATCTTTTCATATGCTTACTTGCCATCCATCCTTGGTAAAATGTCTGTTCAAGTCTTTTGCTCATACTCTAATTAGATTGTTTTTTATTGTGGTAAAATATGCATCACATAAAATTCACCATTTTAAGTATTGTTCAGTCGCTACCATGGTTAATCTCCAAAACTTTTTCATTTTCCCAAAAGGAAACTCTGTATTCATTAAACAGTAACTCTCCATTCCCGTCTTCCCTTAGCTCCTGGCAACTACCATTCTATCCCTATAAATTGGATTACTCTACCTCATGTAAGTGAAATCAGACAGTGTGTGTGTGTGTGTGTGTGTGTGTGTGTGTGTGTGTGTGTGTGATTTCAGCTAGCATAATGTCTTCAAGGCTCATCCATACTGTAGCATGTACCAGAATTTCATTCCTTTCTAAGGCTAAGTAATATTCCATTATATGCATGTACCACATTTTGTTTATCCATTCTTGTGATGGACATTTGGGTTGTTTTCAACCTTTAGATTTGTGAATGATGCCGCTATGAACATTAGTGTACAAATACCTATTTGCGTCCCTGCTTTCAATTCTTTGGGGTATATACCTAGAAGTGGTGTTGCTGGATTATATGTTAATTCTATGATTAATTTTTTGAGGAATGGCGATTCTGTTTTCCATAGTAGATACACCAGTTTATATTCCCACCGGCAATGCACAAGGGTTCTCCATGTTCTCACCAACATTTATTATTTTTTTGCCTTATTGCTAATATCCATCCTCATCTGTATGAAGTGGTATCTCATCATGATTTTTATTTTCATTTCCCTAATGATTAGTGATATTGATCATCTTTTCATGTGTTTGTTGTCCATCTGTATGTCTTTCTTAGAGAAATGGCTATTCAAGTCTTTTGCCTATTTCTCAACTGAATTGTTGTTGTTGTTGAGTTATAGGAGTTCCTTTTTTAAAAATTTATTTAAGTAATTTCTGCACCCAACGTGGGGTTCAAACTCATGACCCCAAGATCAAGAATCGCATGCTCTTCCAACTCAGCCAGCCAGGTGCCCCAGTCATAGGAGTTCTGTATATATCCTGGATATTAATCCCTTATCAGATATACGATTTGCAAATATTTTCTCCCATTCCTTGGGTTGCCTTCTCACTCTGTTGATAGTGTCCTTTGTTAGATAAAAGTTTTTAATTTTGAAGTCCAATGTGTCTATTTTTTCTCTTATTGCCTGTACTTTTGGTATTATATCCTATGTCAAAGATTCAAAATAGCCCAAGTAACACCAATTAATCACTGAAGTAGTAATTAGTAAAAACTTACCATGCATACACCAAAAAGACCATTTGTAAACCGGGAGCACTCAAACCAAAGCATGAAATGAGGCTCATGGGTATATTGTTATAAAGCAGTTTATATAGTGAGAAAGCAGTGAGTTTATTCTTTGCAGTGATTGGTTACAATTTTCAGTGGTTACTTCACGTTAACCTTAGGAAAGAGTTCAGGTTTTGCTTTTCATTTTTATGGGCACAAGTAAGAAGTGATCCAGATCAAGTTAGCCTTGCAAAGTAAGTTAAATTAAGCTTTGTGCGACTAAACTGGTTTTGTCTGTTTGGGGAATTTTTAAGGTTGGTCTCCGTTTATTTCTGATTTAACATATCTAAGAAATCATTGTTAAATTTAATACCATGAAGCATTTCTCTTATATTTTTTTCTAAGAGTTTTACAGTATTAGCTCTTATGTTTAGGTCTTTGATAAATTTTGAGTTAATTTTTATATGTGGTGTAAAGTAGGGGTCCCGTTTCATTCTTTTCCATGTGGATATCCAAATGGTATTCCAATATCATTTGTTGAAAAGACTATCCTTTACTTGTTGACTGTTTTGGCACTCTTGTTGAAAATCATTTGATCATATATGGGAGAGTTCATTTTTGAGCTTTCTAGTCTATTTCTTGATCTCCATGTCTATATTTATGCCTGTATCACACTGTTTTTGATTAATGTAGTTTTGCAGTAAGTTTTGAAATCAGAAGTTGAGTCCTCACCTTTGTTATTCTTTCCTTTTCTTTGTAGGCTGCACGCCCAGTGTGGAGCTTTAACTCACAACCCTGAGGTCAAGAGTTGGATGCTCTACTGACTGAGTCAAACAGCCACCCCTGTTATTCTTTTTCAAGGTTGCTTTTGCTATTTGGGATTCTTTGAGATTCCATATGAATTTTAGGATGGGTTTTACTGATTCTGCAAACACTGTTGTTGGGATTTTGATAGGGACTGCTTTGGATCTGGAGGTTGCTCCAGGTGGTACTGACATCTTAACAGTATTAAGCCTTCTAGTTTATGAATACAGGATGTCTTTTTATTTATTTTTGTCTTTTTTCATTTATTTTCATTTATTTACATCTTTTCATTTATTATCTATAGCAGTGTCTTATAGTTTTCAGTGTTTAAATCTTTAACCTCCTTGGTTAAGTTAATTCCCAATTATTCTTTTTGATGCTATTATGAATGGAATGGTTTTCTTAATTTCCTTTTCAGATTGTCCATTCTCAGTGTATAGATATGCAACTGATTTTTGAGTGCTGATTTCATATCCTACAAATTTGCTGAATTTATTAGTTGTAATAGGTGTGTGTGCATGTGTGTGTGTGCACGCGCGCGCGTGTGTGTGTG